GAATAGATGAGATCATAAATCCATTTGAGTATTTGAGATTATGTCTCTATGCATGTACACTTTATTATATATATAAAATACAGATAGGTATATATAGTTACATGTATTCATCTATCTCTTTACTTACGTATGTGTGTAATACCTGGGGCATTCTCACACATGGGCCTCCCCTCAAAAAAAATTAATACAGGCATGAGATACTCTGCGGGTCAGTGCCCATGCAAAAATACATATTATAAACTTGCACAAATGTGCTGACTTCTACCAGCTAACTCAAAGTGGATTCAAAACTTTAAAGCAAAAGACATTTAGTCAAACACCATAGCCAATAAAATTATCCCCAAAGACCTGCCATATGTGCATGGAGTATATCCTTCCCGAGCTAACTTAGAACCGATGAGGAAGGGTTATGCTTAGGGAACACAGATAACCGAGAAACAAGCATGGTGATCGCATAGGTAAGAAGAATGTGTGACCAGGGAATATGTGTGAAAGGACATAGCCAGGAACCCCCACAACCAGTCTGTGTAGGACAATACATGTTTTCAATTTTGTAGAACAGTTAATAACATAATGGCATTGCGTATATTAAAGATAACACAGCCATGCAAAACAGTTACTTAAGCCAATGCAAAGTTCACATGCAGAAATATAACACATGCATATAACATGAATGTGCATATTAGCACACATGGAGAATAGTGACACAAGAAGAAAAACATACTGAGTAGGAAGGACGAGAGTCCTGTGCAATACATGTTCATGCACTATGTAATATCTATTGCAGGTTTATAGAAAGTACATTATATGTATACTATAGTCATAGGCTTACTTGTTACATGAATGATCACTCTCCTCACAACCACTGAAACAACATACTTTAGTTTTGTCTCTGGCACTTCTACAGTTGATTTTTTTTTTTTTTTGGCTAGGCAATGGGGTTAAGTGACTTGCCCAGGTCACACAGCTAGTAAGTATTATGTGTCTGAGGCTGAATTTGAACTCAGGTCCTCCTGAATCCAGGGCCGGTGCTCTATCCATTGCACTACATAGCTGTCCCTTCTACTGTGATATCTTGAACTCATAGAGACAGTAGCTTAAAGGCACAGTGGTTAGAGTACACGACCTGAGGTCAGGAAGCCCTGAGTTCAAATCTAACCTCAGACACTTAGGAACCGCGTTATCCTGGTCAAGTCACTTAACCTCTGTTTGTCTCAATTTCCTCAATTGTTACTGAGCAATCCTACGTTAAGTCACTTTACATCTCTAAGGCTCATTTTCCCCATAGAAGGGCTGTCACTAAAGTCTTGGTGCTCTAACAGCATATGAAATATTAAATCATAAGGCTTTAATAAGCTTGAAACTGCATAAGTCTTTGGGGATACCATGTATAAAATGGAATAAATAGTGCTTGCTCCACCCATAATACAGTAATACTGTGGGGGAAACGCTTTGTAAATCTTAAAGAGCTGAAGAAATACCATTTATCTTAATGGGTGTCATGAAATTCTCCTTCTGAAAGTGTTTACATATTTTGTGTAAATGTGTAAACACACATGCACATATATTATGTACAGAAATAAATGTGTAAATATGTACCAGCCTTAGAGCTCTTAAGGCTAAATCAAATAAGTGAAAGGCCACTGCTGTAGCTTCAAAGAATTAGGTGATTGATACCTTAAACAAATACTTGAGGCAGCCAATTAATATATTAATTTACTGGGAGGGGCTCCAGGGTGTGGGGCGATGTGGGAGCATTCCTTCACGTGCTCATGAGAGTGCTCAGTTAAGACAGGAAGCAGAGGTATGCTGAGCAAAGGGGCCGCAGGGAAGAAAGCCGTCCGACTAGTTGTGGAAAGAAGGAGAAGTGCTTATTAAATGCCTACTATATGCTAGACACTATGCCAAGAGCTTTACAAGTTGTATCTTATTTGATCCTCACAATGATCCTGGGGAATCAGGGTTGGTGTTATCCCCATTTATCAAATATCAAACATTTGAGGATCCTGGACCAGATGGTTTCATCCAAGTGAAGGAGATAGAAGGCAACAGTGTGGGATTTGAGGAGGGAGTAGGCAACTAGGCAGCATTCACTATAAGTTGTTCTCTCTAGATGTCCAGAACATAGAAAGTCAAAGGTGGAAGGGACCTCAGAGGGTATCAAATCCACCCCGTACCTGAGCAGAAATCCCCTCTATTACGTCCCTAACAAGTGCTTGGTCAGCCTCCCCTTGAATCTCTACAGTAATAGAGAGCTAATCACCTTCTAGAGCAGACAATTTCACTTTTGGACAGCTACAGTTAATAATTTATTCTTTATACTGAACTAACATTTACCTTCCCACAGTTTCACCCGCAGGTGCTAGTTTTCCCCTTTAAACCAAGAAAGAAAGAAAAAAAAGTCAAATCTTTCTTTCATGTGAATACTTAAAGATGGGAATCATGTCTCCCCTAATTCTTATCTCTAGCAGGCTAACACAATCTTTTCAGTGGTCTTATAAGGTGTGGTCTCTAGTAGAACTGTAACTAAAGTAGGGTAGTCAGAGCTTTGCACCAGGGCATGAAATATTTGAGGGTTCATTCCTTTAGCATGTAGAAACAACTGAGCTTTGCCCTTAGCGAAAATAATTGGTTGGAATAAGAAACTCTGGATGATTGAACTTTCTCTTCATGATGTAGAACCTCATGTGAGTTCCCTGCCTCCCTGCCAACTCATTCATTCCTCTCAGGGCTCTGCTCCTAACTCTCCAGACTTCTTCCTCCACCATCCCGCGACCCCTGGGTGGGTACCTTCTCCCTCCACCTTTTTCTGCTTCCACTATTACAATACAAGCTCTTCGAGGGCAGAGATTTCCTTTTTTTAATTTCATTAGCAGTCCTAGGGCTTAGCAGAGTGGCTGACACACAGTATGTGCTTAATAAATGCTTGTTGACTGACTATATGTCTTACCTTGCCTCCCCTGTGCAGCTTTAAAGTGCACAAGTCTCTGTCCCTAAGGAACTGATGATCTATCTCTTCACCATGGGCTGGTATTATCCTGGGGCTTCTCCTTCCCAACTAAGTTTGCCTTAAAAAAAATTTGTTTGAGGGAATGTTTTTCTTTGAGTGTGTCATTTGCCCGATACACTGAAATTATTGTCTATGATTGTAGTCTCCCATCCCCTCATCATCCTGGTTGCCCTCCAGATGGTCAGTCTTCCAGTCATTTAGACTAGGATGGTAACTATCTACCTCTAGCCCCACCCCAACCACCACCCCCAGCTTCTTCCAGAATGGTAGTGGTTGCTGTTGTTCAGTTGTTTCAGTTATGTTCGACTCTTTGTGACCCCAATGGAGGTTCTCTTGGCAAAGATACTGGAGTAGTTTGCCGTTTCCTTCTCCAGCTCATTTTATGGATGAGGAAACAGGCAAACAGGAAAATGACTTGGCCAGGGTCACACAGCTAGGAGGTATCTGAGGTTGGATATGAACTCTGATCTTCCTGACTCCAGGTCTATAGGATTGAGTAAAAGGGGCATTTTATAAGAAATGTGAATAAATTGGGATGATTATAAGACATGTTTCTGATCATTCGCTTTGTAAAAGCATACAAGTATGCCCCAAGACCATATGAGGTATTGTGAGGAAAGCCCTGGAATGGACACAGAGGTCCTGAGTATGATTCTCAGCCCTGCCCCTGATCTTATTCTGCTCCTCAGGTCCTTCTGGGCATTGGAGGCCAAGTCATACCTCCTGTTTTCTAAGCTATGCAAGACCTGGTCATGGTATTGACAGCTGGGGGCAGGAGGGAGAGGGACTTCAGAAACATCCCGTCCAAACTCTTCATTTTACAGATGCAGAATCTGAGATATTTGAAGTAGCCTCCCCAGAGACACACATCGTTAGGAGCCAGGATTTGAAAACCAGTCCTTTTGACCCTTTCTACTCTACTGCTCACAACAATTGTTTTCTAACTAGCCAGTGGTACCGAAAAGGAGAGCCAGGAATGCTCTCTCTCCTCCTCCCCCTCCTGGCTTCCCTGGCTTCCTTCAAGGTCCAGCTAAAACCCACCCCTTCTAGGAAACCTTCCTCCTTCCCCTCAATCCCAGTGCCTTCCCTCTGTTGATTGCATCCAGTTTCTCCAGTATTTAGCACGTCTGACCACAGTTGCTTGCTGGTTGTCTGTCCCGTTAGAATGTGAGCTCCCTGAGAACCTTTACCAAAGGTAAAGGCCAGTGTTCTGGGAGGTTGCTTCAGTTCATCACATTTTTACTTTAAAAATCATTGTTTTGTTTTTTGAACTGGCTGGGCTTTTTATGTCTATGCCATTTTGTCAAAACCATAGAACCATTTAAAAAAAAAAGACTTGTATTAGCCTACCTTTAAAAATTAAATGTTACTCCATTAACTCCTCCAATAAAATAAATACATACTACACAAAGTCCTCACTATAACATTCTTCACTGTATAATTAAACTCTGAATAAGACTGAATGGTCTTGAACATCATCCTAGGGGTTTGCTTACAAAGTTTTTGAGGTAGCTACAGAATTTCTTTATAAGGCATTTCCCTAAAAATTCATGTGCCCTAAGGATAGGAAATATCCAAATGTATCATAAGATAGAAAGGCCCGTGGTATAAGGGAAAAAGCACTTGGTGTGGAATCAGAGGATCTGGGTTCAAATTCTGTTCTGTCACTTTCTACCTGTGTGATCTCAGGTGATTGACTCAACCTCTCCGGGCCTCAGTTTCATCGTCTATAAAATGAGAGGATGAGAAGAGGTGGACTCTAAAGTCCCATCTATTTCTAAATCAATAGGCTATAAAGAAATACAAACAGCATTAGAAATTTAAAATAAAATAAATTCCAACAGTAAATAGGTTTTATTGACAACTTGAAAACAGAGAGAAAGAAAACAATTCATGATAAGCAAGATGGGAAATAGAAACAATTTATTATTATTTATTTATTATTAAACTTTTTTTTATTCTTAATATTAGGATTTGAAAAGTTTGGGAGATCACGCCATGACTGGTGGGTCTTTAGCGGTTTCTTCACACAGTTGTTGCCTCTCCACAAATTGAGATGTTCACAAGCCAGAGGAGATCAGCGTTGAAGCATGAGCCACTAAAGAATGAGAAGCTTTGTCCTGGGTAGAAAGGAATGGTCAAGCCAACGTCAGTGTCTCTAACAGTACTGTTTCTTTCTGTGTGTCACATAATATGCTACAGCCACCTTTTCTCTGAGCTCAATAAAAAGTTACATAGGTAAAAATCCCGAGGTCAGTTCAGTTGCCTGGAAGCGTGCCATTAAGAACCATAAGCAGCCCAGACCTAAAGACATTCTACATCAGGGAACTGGCCTGTGACAGGATATGTTTGCTCCTGAGAAGGGCAGAGTTCCATATATTTTTTTTTAATTTTTATTTAGTATTTTATTTTTCCCCAGTTACATGTAAATTTTCCCCTGTTACATGTACAGTTTTTAACACTTGTTTTTAAAACTTTGAGTTCCAGGGGCAGCTAGGTGGCAAAGTGGATAGAGCTCCAGCCTTGGAGTCAGGAGGATCTGAGTTCAAACCCAGCCTCAAACACTTGAGACTAGCTGTGTGACCCTGGGCAAGTCTCTTAACCCCAAGTGCCTTACCAAAAAAAAAAGGGAAAAAAATAAAACTTTGAGTTCCAAATTCTCTCCCTTCCTCCCTCCCCACCCACCCTCATTGAGAAGGCAAGCAATTCAATATAGGTTATACATGGGTAGTCATGCAAAACACTTCCATAACAGTCACATTGTGAAAGAAAACATAGACCAAAAAACAAACAAAAAACATCAAGAAAAATAAAGTAAAAAGAGTGTGCTTCAGTTCTTCCTCTGGGGATGGATAGCATTTTTCATCATAAGTCCACAGTTGTCTCGGATGGCTGTATTTCTGGGAATAGCTAAAGTCGTTCACAGCTGATCATCTTACAATATCGCTGTTACTTTTGTACACAGTGCATTTCACTTTGCATCAGCCCACGCAAGTCAGAGTTCCTAATGATTGCTGAACAGTTCTCTTAGTCCTTGCAAGTCAAGAGTTCAGGAAAGGGAGCCAATGCTAGAGGGATGTCTGGTGCCACCTTCCTATTATCTTCCTCAGCTACACTCCCATCCATTTCCACTGCCCTCTGTGCCTATCTATGACCACGTCACCCATTGCTTCATTTCTTTCCTTCCTTCCTCTCACTGGACAGACTCTTCTAATCCTCTCACCTGAATTTGCTTCAGGAGCAGTTTCCACTAGTCATGATTCTAACTATATTATATTGGAGGACATTTATTCTTATTTAAAGACATTTTCTGAACACCCATGAATGAATTAGTTAGAAGATTCATAGATAAAAGGCACACATTATTAGCCAAATTAGGAAACAATATGATTCATTCATTTACTCATGCATGCAAATATATAGCATTGCCTTATGTCTTGAGGTAGAAGAATGGATTGGATCAGGGTTGGGGAACCTGCAGCCTCGAGGCCACATGTGGCCTTGTAGGTCCTCAGGTGTGGCCTTTTGACTGAGTCCAAGTTTTACAGAACAAATCCTTTTATTAAGGGGATTTGTGCTGTGAAGTTTGGATTCAGTCGAAGGGCTGCACTTGAGGACCTAGAGGGCCACGTGTGGCCTTGAAGCCACAGGTTCCCCGTCCCTGGATTAGATGATTCACCTGTTCAGTTCACTGTTCAATTTTGACTGATTCCTTATCCTCACCTCAAACTTATCCACATTTTCACTCATGCTCGTTTCCTTCCCTGTTGCCTCTGAGAATGAGGTAACCCTCGTTCTTAATGGGGTTTATGCTCTCCACCTGTGCCCTTGATCTTATTCCTCTCCCCTTTGCTCCAGGACTTCACTTCTTCAATCATCATCATCAGTATCATCACCATCATCATCGTCATCATCATATCATTTTTCTCCTTCCTCCCTCCAATCTCTCTGCCACTACTCTGGTCCAAGCTAGCGTACTTCTTGTATGAGCTATTTTAAGAGCCTCCAAATTGGTCTCCCCATGTCTAGTCTCTCTACCCCCTCATCTAGTTAATTTATCACCTAACCACCAGAAGAGGTCCACTCCAAAAAGTTTTAATGGTTTCCCATTGACCTTCTAATAAAATCCCAAAACACTCTAGTGTTACCTCCTGAGTTCTCCAAAAGGTACCATCCTTCAGATGAGGAAGCAAGCCCAGACTACAAAACCAGGTACCCAGCCCTTAGCATACAGTAGGCAATTAGAAAATGCTGATTGATTGATAGATACTTGTTTGCTAAACCTGAAGCAGTGATCATCACAAAGTACTACCTGTAGTAGCCTATCTTTAAAAATTGACCGCTACTCTGTTCGCAACTCCAATAAAATGAATACGTACTGTGAAGGAACCTCACTATGATGCTCTTCTTTGTGTAGTAAAAATCCGAACAAGATTGAAAGGTCTTAAACTTCATCCTAAGGGTTTGGTTACAAAGTTTTGGAAGTAGCCAGAGAACTTTTTAATAAGGCAACACCAGACACCAGAGGGTAGGATGAAAAATCGAGCACACAAAAAGAGACAACAAGAGCGCACCTAGGAAGCCTGACTGTGGCAACCACTCACTTCAGGAGCCCTGGGCAGCTCTGCCTGGCTTCTCTGCCTCACTCTTGTAATCTATCTGTACCAGAAGACGCGCATCAGTCAGTATAATTGACACTGCTTCCTTCACTTAAACACCTTGGCTAACATAGCCTAGGGCAGAAATTGTGTTGTAGTAACACACATTGTAGCTGTTGTCCTCCTATCTGTAGAATGACCCAACCTTTCCTACTGTGCTACAATTTGGCACCCAAGTCCTTCCATAATCTGGCTCTGGACAACCTTTTGAGCCTTATGTTATTCTATTACCTTTTATTTTCTCTATACTTCAGCTACATTTACTTATAGGTTCTCAAATATGTACCCTATTTTCCTGATGGCTCATGGTTCTAGAATGGTTCCCCTCCACAACAAGCTGTTGACTTCTTGCTCATCCTTCAAAGCCCAGGTCAAATGCCACCACCTCCTTGAGGCTTCACTTGATACTCCCAGCTACAAGCAATCCCTCTCCTCTTCCGCCTGGCACTTTATTTTATGCAATTACTATTTTCTGATGTATTGTATCTGAGTATATACCTTATTAGTCCCACCTGACCCCTACTAAACTGTCTGAGGTCAGGGACCTTACATAATATTTGGAACCATCAGCAGAAACTGCTAGGTCACAATACAATATATACGATAGGAGTTTAAAAATGTACATTGAATGAATGAGTAAACATCTATTCTGTACTTGGTACTACAGCTAAGCAATTTCTATTGATGATTGCAAAGGCTGGTCACAGAATAGCAACAGAATTGGAATGGAATATCCATTAGGAGAGATACTCACCTTGTACTTCCTGAGCTTTGTATGTACGAAGTCCCTTGCACATGTTTTCAATAGGAGTTCCAAATTGAGTCAGATTTTTTACTTCCTCAGGTTCAATTTGATAGTGCAGACTTTTGGGGGAAGGTCCAGTATGTACATTTGCCTAAGGTGACAGTCAAACAGGGCAAGTGATACACAAGCTGAGGTGACCATTCAGTTATGAGGCATGCTTATAGGATGTAGCTAAAGCAGTCCCTTGGGGACAATTTTTATCTCTAAGTACTTTCATCAATAAAATAGAGAAAGAACAAGTGAATGAATTGAGTGAGCATACACCTAAAAAAACCTAAAAAAGCAGCAAATTGATCCCCTCAACTAAACACCAAAGTAGAAATTCTGAAAAATCAAAGAAGAGATTAACAAAATTGAAAGCAAAAAGAAGAAGAAAATGAAGTGATAAATAAAACTAAAAGCCAGTTTTGTAAAAAAAAAAATCAATAAAATAGTTAGCTAATCTGACTTTAAAAGAGAGGAAAACAAAATTGTTCACATAAAAATTTTTAAGAATTCAGAACAATTGAAATGGAAGTAAATCAAACTATAAGAAGCTATTTTGCCAATTTATATGCCAGTTATATGTTTTGTGATATTTATGTGTGTTATATGACATAGGTTATATGATACCTTAGAAATAGATGAATACTTACACAAATATAAAATACCCAAATTAACAGAAGAAGAAATGGTTTAAATAACCCAATATCACAAAAATAAATTGAACAAACCACGCAACTGTCAAAGGGAAAAAAAAGCCTCCAGAACCAGATGAATTTACAAGTGAATTCAATCAAATATTCCAAAACAACAACAACAACAGTTGTGGAGATGTAAAAGGGAGTCCATGGAGATTCTTAGATTGACAGGCTAAATGGTCACTGGTCAGGGATGACAAAGAACTGCTTAAGGATAGTGAAGAATACCATGTAACTTGGGGAAGGGCATTAGTCCCAGCTCTGGGATTCTGGGTTACTCTGAATGATCAATAAGCTATAGAAGGAGCAGCTAAAAAGAGAACAGTAATGGATGGAATGTATGGAGATGCCTTTCACCCAACATGTGCAGCCCACAGTGTCTTCACCTGGCCCATTTAGGAAGATCAAAAGCCTTCTCTTTGGCCTCCACTCTGACTTCTCTAACTGGACTCTGCCTCACGTTGACTGTTTCTCTTTTATAACGGGAAATATTTCTTTTACCCTCTTTTCTTTTGCTGTCTTCTCAAGGTCCTGAAGGCCAGGCACAACATCTCTGTTCAGCCTGTACACGATGCAGGTTTTCTTGGCAAAGATCCTAGTTGCTGCAAAGCCCTGTGAAAAGGAAATGATACATAATGAGGTCTTTATTTCCCAGTATAGGTCTTCCCTTCAGAAATCAATTCTGCTAAAGTAGAAAGAGAATTGACTGTGGAATCAGAAAACCTGGGTTCCAACCATGGCTGTATTGGAAACAGGTACATGGAGCAATGGATAGAGTGTTGAACTTGGAGTCCAGAAGACTTCAGTTCAAATCCTGCCTCAGCCACTTATCAGCCATATGACCTTGGGCAAATCTTTTAACCTCTTAGCCTCAGTTTTCCTAATCTGTGAAACAGGTAAGAATAGCACTTATCTCACAGGATTATTATTGGCATCAAATGAGGTAACTTATGTAAAGTGCCTTGCAAATCTTGAAGTGCTAGATAAATACTTCTGATGATTATTTACTGTCTTGTGACCTTGGGAAAGTCATTAGACTCTCTGAGCCTCAAATATCTCGTTTGTAAAATTAGAGGGATAGATTAGATGATATCATGGGTCCCCCTGAGTTCTATGTTCCCACGAACCTGGAGCAGAAACAAGGACTCCAAGAAACATCTGAAATGGAGTGAAATGGGACCAGCCCACCGAATCAGCTTCATTTAATTAACCCTTTCCAATCCAACAACAAGTATGTATTAGGTCTTTGCTATGTGCTAATCACTCTGCTCAGTACTTGGGATTCTCTTGGAGACACTACATTTTAATATTCAAATAATTTCCATTTCAGAGGCATGCTAATAAATGTTTAGCAACTGTTTTTCACATAGGGAGTGTTTGTGTACATATATGTATAAAAGTATGTGGTATATATAATGGACATGCATGTATATATGCATTGCAATATGCATTCGTATGTATGCATGTATATATACACATATGCATATATATGCACACACATGTGTATAAATAACACCTATATTATTGTTATATTATAACCTATTATATGTGCAATATGTTATTAAATGCATGTATGTGTACTTGCTTGCACATGGCATGTACAGGTATATGTGCATGTGTTTTATACACATGTACATACGTGTGTGTACATACACAAATACAGACGTATGTGCATATATAACACATGCATAGCACACTTTTACATTTGATTTGCACTAATGGTTTCGCTTTCACCTTCTTAAGTCCTGATTTTTAGCATTAGCTGATTTCTGAGGCATAAATGCTTACGCTGAACATTGAACAATTAGCTCTCCTTAGCCAGCTCCAGCACGCTACTGATTGTATTTAACTTCAGAAAACACTTCAGGATCATGGACTTAAAAAACAGGAGGAGACCTTAGAGGTCATCTCATCCACTTTCCTAATTCATAAATGAGAAATGAAGTCCCTAAGGGATTAGATGATTTTTCATGTGTTTTTCTCCTTTCAGCTTCACAGACACATGGGGCAAGGACCCTAGGCTCTATTAAGATTATGTATGTAAAATACTTTGCAAACGTTAAAGTGTTGTGTAAATGTTAGCTGTTATCATTATTATTCTAACGTTGTAAGTGACCATAAAGCTCATGCATGACTAAGTTCAGCGCCCTGAGTTTTATTTTCATTTGTTTACGAATGAAGAAATTGAGGCCAAATATTGTTAACGAGCCTTGTCCAAAGTCACACAGGGAAGGAGGAGAAGGGCCAGAATTCAAAAACAGATCTCTGACTCTAAATCTGGTGCTCTTCCTACTAGTCAAATGGAAAAATAAATAAATGAGTTTCAGAGAGGTTGACTTGCCCAAGGCCACACAGCCACTTCATGGAATAACCAGGCCCAGATCACAGGTTTTCTCATTTTAATCCTAGAAACACTAGGTCACACTATCACTAACTTTTCCATAGGGCCCATGGATGTTTCATGTCTAATCATTGGGAGAGAAGAGTAGATAAATCATGGGCTCCCCCAGCCACCTTTTTCTTTTCTTTTTTTGGCAGAGTCTAAAGTCTTTCATGGTGACCTGGTATCTGGAGACCTCAGTCTATTTCCTGTGTCATGTAGTTAAAAATAATGTAGGAAAATGATTTAACCTCTCTGTTTCTCGTTGTCCCAATTTGGTAGCGTTTTGTAGTGTAAAGAACACTCAGCTTTTTTACCTAACCAGAGCTCAGTTTTGGCTCTCCCACTGAGTAGAGTGGTGTGGCCTTGGGGAACTTGGTTTCCCTCTCTGGGTCTGTTTCCTCCATAGTAAAATGTGGTTTGAAAAAAAAAATGACCTCTTAGGTTCCTTCTTTTCAGTGACTCTAACATTGGAGTAATAATACTTGTGTCACGTGCCTCGTGGTGCTACTGAGGATAGAGTGTTTTGTAAGCCTTGAGGGATTACAGAAACGTGAGTTGTTAGCGTGAAGAAGAACGTTCTTCCTGAGAACCTGCTGGCTACTTACGGTGTTGTAGTCCCAGAGTGAGTGCCAAGACTCCCATCCCTTGTCATTATCAATATTGGCTACATTGTGGCTGTGGTTAACACTCACTGTCTGCTGCGCACCACCGCCACCGACGTTGTTGTCATCACTGACGCTGATATTCTGAGGTTGCAAAAGAAATTCAGAAGGTACATCAATGTAGTTCCTTAACAGTATCACTAATTTTATTTTCATTATATTTTTATATTATATATATATTTATATTTTTATATATTATATATTTATTTTATTATAACTTGATAAACAAAAAAGTGACCATTTCAATATACAAGAAAAACAGAAAAAAGAGGATCGCATATGAAACTGTGAGCTATTATATACAGTTTTTTAGAGTGTATATAAAATTAAACATATTAGTAACAAAACTGGGCTGTCCTGGACATTTTCTTAGGAGAAAATTAAACCAACAAATGTTTCAGAATAAGTAGACTCACAGAGTCAGCAAAGGTAGAACCCTGGAGCAATCCAAGGAGTCCAATACACACAATCTGAAATGAAAAAGAAAAATAGAGAACATGAATGGTTTGTCTCTATCACTATCTCTGTTTTTTTCCTGTCTCTCTGTCTCCATCTTTATGTGTGTCTCCTGTCTCTTCTCTCTTCTCTCTTCCCTCTTCTCTCTCTCTCTCTCTCTCTCTCTCTCTCTCTCTCTCTCTCTCTCTCTCTCTCTCTCTCTCTGTCTCTGTCTCTTCTCTCTCTCTTTTCTCTCTCTTTTTTCTCTCTTTCTCTCTCTCTCTCTCTTTATCCTCCCCCCCCATGTCTCTATCTGTCTCTGTCTCTATATGTCTGTGTCTGTCTGTCTGTCTGTCTGTCTGTCTGTCTCTCCTTGCCTCTGGCTCTGAATCCAGGTCTTTCTGTCTCCCTTCTCCCTCTTCCTGTCTCTGTCTCTAACTAGACCTGCCTACTCGCTCTCTCTCTCTCTCTCTCTCTCTCTCTCTCTCTCTCTCTCTCTCTCTCTCTCTTTCTCCAACCCCTTCTTCTACTGTACGGAACCAGTTTGAACTGGATTATGCCCGTTTGAACTAAGAATCCATAATTCTTCCTCCTGTAAGTGTTTTCTAAGTTTGCAGCCTTTAGTAGATTGTCTTAATAAGCTGCTGGTGCCAAAAAAGTCCTTCCTTTGTGACCAGCTAAGTGACTAGATTCACTGCTCTTTGCTAGGTGTGTTCTAAGTAAATAGGCATACAGCCCATCTCCAGTATGTATGTGAAGCTTTTCACATTTGCTAGCATCTGCGAGAGTCTTTGCTTGTCTAGTCAAGGTCTTTAAGACCTAAAGTCATTCCTAACACACTGTGACCTCCAACATTATACTCTAGAATATGTATTCTACTTTAGCGGAAAATACATACTTCATTACAGAATGCATGTATATATACAAATATATATATGTATATATATATGTGTGCATGTATATATATATATATATGTGTATGTGTATGTATATATATATATATATATATCCATATATCTATAAATATTGAAAAGCAATATGGGAAAAGACCAAAGATGAAATATGCTACCCATCTCCCACAAGATAAGCAATTGATTTAAAATACAGAATGAGATAACCATTTTAGCATGGCCAATACAGTGATTTGTTTAGCTGAACTATACATATTTGTTATAAAGTTTTATTTTTTCATTTTTATTCAGTTGGGGAAATATTGAAAGAGAGATAATAAATGTTTGTACAAATAAATATCTTTAAAATTTTTTAAAGGCAGAGTGGGAAAATGGGTAGAGGGCCATCCTTAGAGTCAAGAAAACCAGGGTTTAAGTCCTGCCTTTAGTACATATTGACCGAGTGACCCTGGGAAAGTCATAACCTCTCAGTGCGCCAGGCTATAGACTCTCAATATAGGCTTCAGAACAGTTGCTGATCTACATTGTTAGAGGGATTTTCCTCACCAGCAGTTCCCTACACTAATGACATCTCAGGTCCAGATCATCATTATAGCTAACATGTATATAGAACCTGGGGTTTGCAAAACACTGTACATGTTATCCCTTTTGATACAACAGTCCTCCTCCATGACAGCAACAACCAGACAGAGTAGGATAAAATATTGGAGCCAGGAGGCAGAGCTAATGCCAGCTGTTGTGAGGACCAAATGAGATAATGTTTGTAAAGGCACTTAGCACAATGACTGGCACACAGTAGGTACTCTATAAATGTTTATTTCCTTCCCCCTCTTCTGCTTTCTATCACAAAATAAACTCCTGTAAGAGTGCTAACATTCTCTACAGGGTTACTAGATTCAAAACGGGAAGGGACCACCGCCACCAACATTCTCATTCTGCAGAAGGCAAACAGGCTCAGGCAAAGGAAGTGATTCCCTCAAGGTCACGTGTTTAAGTTGATGGCCAAAGCCTGGTTCCAAACCCAGACTCACTGACTCTAAATCCAGGGTCCTTTCCACTGCACCACATCATCTTTCTAATTCTGGTGTTAAAAATACAAAGGAAAGGCCAGTCTACTCACCACCAGCTTCATCGTGTCCTTAGGAGAGAATAGGGCAGATTAGAAAGATCTCACAGAGTCAGCTCTGGAGAACCATCTCAATATATATTCTCTGACTCTATTCAAATCAGGTGTGGGTGGATTGAGTCTGACATTAATCTTCCACCTTTCCCCTTATCTTTACCATACCACAGTGTCCCAGGAAAATTTCTAGGATTTATATTTCGTTATCAAGACCCTTTGACCTGAATATTATATGACTCATCTGTTGAAGTTGAGGGACTGTTCATAACCATAAATCCAATATGTTTTATGATAATTTTGGGTTGACTTGAAATTAGGGATGGGTTTGTGAGTGGTTTTGTATGTTGACATTACACAAAATCAATACAGGAACTAGGACCCCCAAAATCAAACAAGGTAGAAAGGGAGAAGCTGTGTGCACTCCAAGATAACAGATAGCAGCCCTCTTGGTCATGGTGTCCAGGGCTTCATTCATTCTGTGCAGTTGACCTTGGAAGTGAAGGAATTTTACCTTTGTGCATTTTGTACTTTAAAGCCATGTCTTAATACTTGCACTATGGGATCATCTATGATTACAGTATTTTTCAGAATATTTTTCCAATATTTTTGTCTATGATTCAAATAATTTTTGGAAGTTGGAAGAGGATTGGGACTGAGAAGAGGGAGAGCTCAGAGCTCAGTAAGAGGTGGCAGGAAAGGGTTTTTTCAAGATAGACAATCTCAGGGATTAGAAGAGTAGGATGTAGGATCATAGACTTAGAGCAGCAAGAGACCTTAGAAATCATCTTACTTCAATGGTTTCATTTGACAGATGAGAAAACTGAGACCAAGAGAAGTTAAATGATCTGTCTAAGGTCAGCTAAGCAAGTAGAGGAGCAGACGTGTGAATATAGGTCCTCTGACTCCAAATTCAGAATGTTTTCCACTACACTTTGGGTTGTAGCCAAGGGGTAAAGTATAGAGAAACTTATAAACTTTTTGTTGTTTAGCCATTTTTCAGTCGTGTCCAACTATTTGTGACTCCATTTGGAGTTTTCTTACTGCAGTTGTTTGCCATTTCCTTCCCCAGCTCATTTTACAGATGAGGAAACGGAGGCACACTGGGTTAAGTGACTTGCCCAGGGTCACATAGCTAGTAAGTCTCTGAAGCCAGATATGAACTCAGGAGGATGAGTCTTCCTGACTCCAGGCCCAGCACTCTATCCACTGCACCACCTAGTTGCCCCAATTTATCAACTAAATTGAGTTAAAAGTGTCCTTTAATTATGCCATATTAAAATGTCACTTTGTGGAATGTCATAATACCTCTCTGGGCCTCAGTTTCCTTTTCTATGAAGTGAGGGGTGAGACTAACACCAAAACTGGTGTTCTCAACCTTTTGGCAGCCTGGTGAACTCTATGGATGCACCCTTTAAATTATATAACAAAATATATAGGACTACAAAGGTAACCAATTACATAAAAAGATACAATCTTCTTCCTATCCGAGTTCATAGATACTACCCCCCCCCAAGGTTAAGAACCCTTATACTCTCCAAAGTCTCTTTCCTGCTCTAAATCTTATGGTTGTATGTATCTGTGACCCTTCTTTTTGGTGGGCAGCTCATAGGATCGTAGACCAGAAGGGACTCTTGAACTTTACCATTATGGGCTTCAGTTTCTTTATCCATGAAATGAAGAGATGGGTCTTGAAAGGACCCATTTCACTCTCTAACATTCTATGACCCTGAGTCTAGAAGATAAAGATAGCAAGGTCTCACCTGCCACCCCTCACCAGTCACTTTTTAAAATGTCCTTTTATTCGATTCTCTTCCACTGCTCTCCCAGCTCACTGCCTGTTCATCCTATGCAATTTTTAAATTGAGGAAGAGGGTCAATGCTGTCTTCTTTATGTCCAATACACTTTAAAACATGGAATTATTCAGCACAGTTAGACTAAAAAGGTTGGAATCAGCTGCTAGAACTTCCACAAGGACCTGGGCAGCATCTTCCCATGCAACCCCTCTGCTCAGAGTGGCTCAGCGGCTACACTCTTTCCCCTCCTCAATTCCTGCCCTCCTCCCACATACACAACCTCCACACCCTGGAACTCCTCCCAGTAAATTAATTTATTAGTTGGCTATTTCAGGTATTTGTTTAAGGAATCTATCACCTAACTCTGGGGAGCTACCCCACCCTTTCATTTGCTTGATTTATCTCTTTTCTAACAGACTAATGTATTATAATTCAGTCATGCCCCTCTTTACATCGAACAAAGTCCACGGCATTTTCTTGGCAAAGACACTGGAGTGGTTTGCTATCTCCTTCTCCGGTGTGGTTGCATTTTACAGATAGGAAATTGAGGCAAATAGAGATTAAGTGACTTGTGTAGGGTCGCACAGCTAATCAGTGTCTGAGCTCAGATCATCCTGACTCCAGGCCCAGTCCTCTATCCACTGTACCACCCAGCTGACCCCATATTCATCTAGCCATTAATAATTTTTAAGTAAGTGATTGGGGGGAGGTGAGGAGATGAGGAGAGGAATATTTCATGATACCTATTGAGTTTGCAATAACTTCCTTTCTATACCACTTAAGGCTTTACAAAGTGTTCCCCTCCCCATTCCACCCCAAATAATCCCATGAAATGGGTGATACAAGTATTTTTGCCCACTTTCGACATGTGAGGGAACTGAAGTCTCAGAGAAGGAGGTGGTTAGCCCTGGTTACCCAGTGAATAAGCCTTGTCTCCTGCCTTCCAGTCCCCTATACTGTGCTGGTTCATTGGAGGCACCTAAGTGAGTCTCAAAGCGAGGGCTGGGAATCAGTAACTTCAAAAGACAGATGACACTTACCAGCTGTGAAATTGTGGGCAGATCACAACCCATCTCTCAACCTCAGCTTCCTCATCTAAAATGAAGGGGTTTTTGATGAAGACATTTAAATCCTCTCCATGGAAACTTCTAGCTTTTATTAACTATGGGCTAAGTGTAAGAGAAATTTTACCCATATTGGCCTAAATTCAGAAACAGCCCCAGCAGTTTCTTAGTGGCTCATTCTCAGTCAAGAGGCAGTAGAGCAATGGTCCTGAGGTTTTGGGATCTGGGTTCTAATCTTGCCTCTGATCCTAACCAGCCATGAGAACATGGGCAACATGGGACAATAATCCCCATACCTCAGAGTACTATTGTGAGATTCAAATGAGTTAATGAATGTAAAGAATTTTGCAAACTTTTAGGTCCTAAATGTTAGCTTTTGTTATTCTGCTCAGGTTAGAGCTGTAAAATCTTAAATCTTTCAATTCAATAAGCATTGATTAAGCTCCTACTATATACAAAATGTTGTCCCTAGGGTTTTCCTATAGTGGATTATAAAAATTAAAGAATACCATTACAGGGTTTAGGGTTAGGGTTAGGGTTAGGGTTTAGGGTTAGGGTTAGTTCTAGTTCAGTTCATCTAGTAGCTGTTCCTTTGCTCATTCACCAAAGTGAATGTAAAAAGCTTGACCCTGGGAGTGATACAAAATCTGGATAAAGCTTAGCTGCTGGCCTCCTGGGGCTTAACGTACTATCACAAAACAGTTCACTGAATATGATGAAGAAGGACATTTTGCAAGTGAACAATCTTCTCTGAACACAACTTTAATGAGCTAGGCCTTTTTTGTTGGATTTTTTTCTAGTCCAGACCTTTGATTTCACTAGAGAAAAGAGTTCTATATGAGAAAATTCATGGACAGCTAGATAGAATGGTGAATAATGTGCTAGACTTGGAATCAAGATCATAGTCCAAATTCTGCCTCAGACACTAGCTGTGTGATCCTCAGCAAGTCATTTAACCTCTCTGTGACTCAGTTTCCTCACCTGTTGGAGAGAGGAAGAGGAAAAATAGACTTGATTGATTGTAGGGTCCCTAAATATGTGCCTCTATGAACTTCTACCAATGCAGATCAGCAATTATTTTGTATTTTATATTTAATCTAGGTGTACCTTTCTACCCTTATTATCTGTTACTCCCCTGCATGCACACTATGGGCTGCCTTTCTTTCTGTTTCTCATACACAGTATCACATAGACAACCTCTAATTATGCCTTTTCCTTGGCTCTTCTCCATGTTTAGAATGCATCCTCTTCTCATCACCTCTGGAAATCCACAGGTTATTTCAAAACTCTCCTCAAGCATCACACGAAGTCTTTTTTGATCCCCTCAGCTGTCAGCACCTCCCTCAAAAGTATTTGGAACCAATGTACTGTCCTTAAGGGCAGGGAGTGTTTCATTTGTCATTGAATCCCCAGACCTTGCACAGCACTATGTGCAAATATTGGAGTTTGGGGGAAAGGTAAAGGAAGGGATAAGTACCTGCGGTTTCATCAGTGTGGGGAACTTCTCACGCAGAAGTTCCCTGCATTGACAAAGCTTGGTAACTCATCTATATCTTAGAGCCTTAGAGGGCTTGTTGGGGACACTAAGAGGCTGTCACCTGCACAGGATCACTCAGACAATTTGTGTCAAAGGCAGAACTTGAATCCATGTTTTCCTATCTCCAGAGCAGAAATATCTCTTCTGAAGGTGGAGAGGAATAAGAAAGAATGAGTGAAATGATGGACATTTTGAGGTGAAATTTGTGGATACAAGTTATGTTTTGAGGCAGAGAGGAGGAAAGATAAGGGAGGAAAAAGAAAAAGAGAAGAGAAGGAAACTCCAAATGGCTTCAATATTTCCAACAGAACAGAGTTTATTGGCTAACAGGATGTAGAATACGAAAGATAAATCAAAGAAGCATTGAGCCTGGGTGTTTGGAGAGTAAGGTGACTGAAATAGGAAACTTCAGATAGGGGAGCCCTGAAGACCTCCAGTAAAGAAGAGCCCTCTGCTTCCCAAAGTAGTCTCTTCTACTTCGGTAGAATTCTCATTACGAAGAGATATCTTTCTTTGGGGGGAAAAGTCAAGTCAGCAAGCATATATTAAGTGCCTACTATGTTCCAGGCACTGTACTAAGTGTTAGGAAAACAAAGAAAGGTTAAAAAAAAGTC